ATTTTCATTTAGACCCCGAAGAGATTCTAGAGGTTCAACAATGTCGGCTATAGAAAATGCTTCTCATTTCAAAATGCAAGCTTCTCCACCTAGCAAAGAGGAAGAACAGTATATGAATCAGCTGGTCGACATAATTGACAGTTGGATGAGCGATTTACCGATAGACCTGGATACTGAAGATGGTAAAGGATTCAAAGAGGTCATGATAAGAGATCTAGCTGGAGATATTATAGATAGACAAAAATATTTGCAACTGAATCCCGACGCCAAAACCTCTCCTGCAGAAGAATTGGAACATTTAAAGTATCAAGTGTTTAGGTGGCTGCATAAGTTACCTGATTTGAAAGACTTGATGCCATCAATAGCTAAAACGGATGATTTGATGGAACGAATAAAATCTGTTCCTGTGCCACAGCTTATAAAATCTCCAGATAGAAGATCCGGCAGACAAAGAGGTTCTATAATCCAGGATTTATCTCAGAATTTTGAATTGCTACATGATGAAATATCCAAGTGGATAGGAGCAGTGCCTTCTAAGTTTTATACTACTACAGATAAAGATCACCACCAAGAAATGGTTAAAGATTTAGCAGAACAGATTGACCAGCTTCATAAAGACGAAGCGTTGACAGAAAATCTTTTAGATGACATCGTCTCAGATTGGTTACAGAAGATGCTGAAAGAATATAATGAACAATATTTTAGTAGCTTAACTGAAGGGTTAAAAGGTGCTTTATTACATAAAGGACTGATTTCCCTTTTGGAGAGCTCAATGTTAATGAGGCAAAGTAGTCAAGTAATGCAAGAGAATTTAAGGGGTTTTATATTGGATTGGCTGAAAGAGAAACCTCTGTATCAAAGAAGAATTTCGACTGAAAAACGTGAACAGGAGCAGTTAGTAGCAGAACTGTCAAAGAATTTAAAAGATACGTTGAAAGCTTCTCACCCGAGCGAGGCGCACAGAGATGACAGAATCCTAGATGACATAAAATCACACATAAAACGATTCCCAATGGAGTCACACTTAAAACTAGATGAGGATTTCCATCATTCTACAGCGAATGATCTTATGGAATACTTGAAGATGTTACAAATGTTTCAAAATATGTCAGAAATACAGTCACTATCGAAATCACAATCCAGCATAGATTTCAAAGACATATTGCCGGTTATGGACGAATGGATAGGTAAACTACCGTTACAAGCCAGAAAGGCATCTGTAGATGATAGAAAACTTGATAGTCTAAAGCAAGAATTCGCTAAAACCATTCATCAACTTAAACAACAACATCCCACGCACACTGAAACGGGAAGTGCAGTTTTAAAAGATGAAATTAAGAAATATCTACACAAGTTTCCGATTGAGCCAGCTAAAAAGAAGGATCAACAGTTTGTATCTGAAAAGATTGATGAATTACATGACATGTTGCATAGTTTACAATCTGAGATGGCAACTCCTGGAAGAGCTTCAATAAGCGTTGATGGCGTCAGAGACGTTATTTTAAATTGGGCCAAAAAGTTGCCTTTTCAATCCGGAGCAACTATTGAAAAATCTAAATCTGAAGTTGATAAAATGGCGACGAAAATTAAGAAAATGCTATCTAACGTAAAAGGAGCGGATGATTTTGAAAAAATCAAACCTAATTTGGAAAAAGAAATAAAAGCGTTTGTAAACAAACTACCTATTCAGAAGAAAAAGTTTAAAGAGGATTATATTCATGAACTTACAAACCAATTAAATGACTTTGTCAAAGCATCCACTATGACGCAACCTAGCATGACCACAGACAGTAGTTTCAGCTCAAAATCTGGCTTCAAAAAAGCAGCAGATATTCTCTATGATAATATCGAAGATTGGTGTAACAATCTACCTATACCTAGTGCAAACACTCCTGAAGAAAAGGAAAAAGTCAAAACCCTCAAACAAAACATAGCTAGCAAACTGATCAATATAATAGGCGACTTAAATGTAAACCCTGAGATATTTAATGATGATTCTTTATACGAAGATCTGTTGAAAGATGAAATAGATAAATTACTCATTACTTTACCCCCAAGTCCAGAACTAGAAAGGAATTTACCAGCCCTCAAAGAGAACTTGATACAGAAAGTGAATGAAGCAAAACTTAAGATGCAAGACGAGTTAGCAGGACAAGTTTATAAGCAGCAACTGCGTGACGCCATCTCGAAAACTTTACCATCTATTGAAGATCTGTCATTGGAAGAGCAAGCTCCATTTGAAGTACTAAAAGATAACCTGGCTGATGCTTACATTGAATTGCACTATGCAGCTGATAACGAAGAAATGAAGCGTAAATTGAAGGCTAAAGTAAGTGACGAAATCAATCAATTCTGCGATGATTATTTACAACGATATCCAGCTTCACCTATCGACCCAAGCAAGTTAAATAGAGAGTTATACAATACATTGCAAAAAGTACCAGTGCCTAAAGACGAAACTATCAAAACTCAGGTTGAACAAGTGAGAATAAAGGACGAAATTAATGAATGGCTCCAAGAATTACCTTTGAAAGAACAAACTCCAGCTGAGCTATTACAACAAAATAAAATCGTTAATGTTTTAGCTAAACGCTTACACGATATTGAGAAAGAGAAGGAATGTGACCCTGGTATTGACGTTGAAGATCGCATGAAAAAAGAAATACATAAGTGGATCAAAAAGCTCCCAATCATACCAGGTGAAGAAGGTAACGTGGAGAGCATGGTTGATCAACTGACAGCTAAGCTTAAAAGCTCAGAAGAGTCGAGAAGATTCAGCATTTCTAGGATAAGACATTCGATTGACACTGCTAGTGATGAACAATCGTGTGCAGCAGTTTGTCCCTTTTATTCTAAATACGATAAACCAGCAAATCTATTGTCACCTTCCACAGACAATAGATATTTGTCGCAATACGCTCCACCCTTTCCCCCTAGTACCCTAAGCACGGAAGATAAAGCACATCTAGAACGAATTAGAGAAAGAAACCAACAGAGACAACAACCTACAAAACCAGCTTTTCCGCCGTGTCATTGCAAAGATGCGTCGGTCAATCCAATACCTATCGAAGCTGGAAGTCAAACTGATGTTGGCCCAGCAGTAGTTTCTAGCAGCGCCAAGTCTATTCAATCACAGCCCGAGCCATGTTCTAGAAGCCAAGCTCCGTCTACTCAATCGGACTTGGCACCGTGTTCGCAAGCTCCAGTGTCTCCTCAAGTTGTTGTAAAGGAGTTTTACTGGGATTCTCCAGAGTCAGCGATGCGAGAACCAGGTTTTACACCATGTGGACAACAAGGTCAATCTGTGAGCTTTCAAGGACAAAATCAACCTTGTGGGCCTCAACCACAGCAATTTCCATGGCCTCAATCGCAAGCTAATCTCCCTCCTAAGTTTGGCTTACTACAACCAAGTCCCTGTTCAAGACCTCAATTTCTTACACCAGATCAAAGTAGGATGCCTCAAGCACCTTGCATGTCCTCACCGCCTATGACGATGCAATCACCTCGCATGCCTCAACCGCCAATGCCTCAATCCTGTATGATGTCGCCACCGCCCCAAATGCCGCCACAGTCACCTTGTATGATGCCACCGGCGCCTCAGATGTCTGCTTCACCTTACTCCCAGAACAGATCTGGCCAATCTCCATGCATGTCCCAACCACCGTCGATGCCGTCACGAATGACGTCACAGCCTTATTCATCAGCGCCTCCTTGTGGCGGGTCACAACCTGCGTATCCGTCAGCACCACCTTGGACATCGCAACAGCCTCAGTCACCTTGTATGTCAAAGCCTCCGCAACAATCAACGCGATCTCCCTGCATGAATCAACCACAAATGCCTGAAACTCAATCGCCTTACTCACAGTATAACAAATCCCCATGTATGTCAACCCCACAAGAATCTCAACCAGAGATGCTTCCGTGTCATTCTCGAGAAACCCCCCCTCCTCGTCAAAGATCGCAACTTTCGCGGCAAATCCCTCCATGCCAATCTCAAGAAAACCGTCGTGAGACCAGAAAACCATTCAGACAGCCATGTTTTGGGTCTCCAGAAATATCGAGCACATCCTCTCCTTTTGACACCGAGTGTCCTGATGCTGATAGACGATTCGGTCCTAAGGTGACTCGGCTCGGTTCATTAGACGATGTGCCGTGCATGAAGAACTGTGGGAGTCAGTCTCCTAGAGCAAAAAGATCTAGGGGATCCCCTGATGAGGACTTTGATTGGACGATTCGCTTTCCTGAAGACGATGGGTTTTGGGGGACTCCGTGCCCTAGAAGAAGAGTCCATAAGGCTCCAATGAGAAACGCTGACGGGCCGTTTGTAAAAGAAAAAGTGAGAAAAGAAGAGAAGGTCAGATGTCGGTGTAGAGAACGTATTTTGACGAAGTGCATGGGCAGACGGCCTCAGACTTGCAACTTCTCGTGCCAGGATGATGAATCTATGCAGCACTGCTCTAAATGTTGTGGAGCTCACTGCCCTCACCCGAGTTACCTCTTTTTTAGATAGATTTGTGATCGTTTTGTTATGTCTTGTGATGTTTTGTGTTGTGATAATAAATTGCTAGTTTATTATAAAATAAGTTTTATTTGTGTAGAAGTAGGAGATTACATTTATTATGTTTAGCAAAACTTATATAAACGTCACAAAAATATCTGACACTATCAGGGAGCGGTAGAAGAACCTTAGGCTGGGTTGCAACGTCTTACTTTAACTTTAAAAAAAACGTCAAAAATCTGACAAATTCCATACAAACGCACTGGTTATAGTTACGGTTAAAATTATATAGTGCAACTCAACCTAAAGTCTTCTTGGCACGAAAAATAGTAGGTATAAGGTAACTATGAAATAAAAACATGTCAATTTCAAAACATCAATTTATTCAACAACAATAAAAACACTTCACAAAATCAATTTAACAACAATAAAACAATACAGACAATACGTTGATATGATTTACAAATCACCAAACAAATCACACACAAAACAAGCTTAATATTCAATAGAAATATCTGCAAGGCATTGGCATAGGATAGCACCGTGGACGCCTGCCCATATCCTCATAGACACGGTGTTTCTTGCACTTCCAAATGCGTTCCATACAATGACATTTATAGATCTCTTCTTCACCGTCAGTCTCTTCATCTATTGGTTCTTGGTCTGGTACAGCACTAGCCACTCTTGCTGTAGGCGTAGGGTCTTGGGTCGTCAAGAAATCTGTGCTCGGTGGCACACCAGACACAGTTTGACCTGGTGCTCCAATATTTCCTTGATTACACATCTGCACATAGTCTGGAGGTAGATTATCTTGATATATCCGCCCAGAAGCTTCAGCCTGGTTTGCAGGCTGGATTTGGCTCCTATCTGAAGCGTAACCCGATCGAGGGTCGTAACTACTTTGAGCGCCAATTGGCCTTTCGATAGGGCCAAAGCCAACAGATCCCGTTCCTTGCCTTGTGCCTAAATCCTGACAGCATTGTGGCAACTGCTCTTGCTGTTGATAAGGACCTGCCACTTGACTGGTGCCGAACACTCCTTGGCCTTGAGGATATGCTCCTGAAATTGGAGCCATTGATTGACGGAAAGGACCGATATTTACACCCGCTCCTGGATAATCTTGTTCTTGAGGACATGGAAGAGGTGGATGTCCCATAGACTGATAGAAATTATTTTGATTAGTTTGGTTGGCGCCTGAATTCCCTTGGAATTGACAACAGGGTGGTGGTGCCTGAACTGCTGACTGCTGAAGAGAACTTTGCTTACGTTGATTTCGATTACATGGTCCTGGCATCTGCCCCATTGACTGTTGATAAGAAGCTTGGTTACTTGAATCTGCTATTTGATTGGCACACAACATGCTTTGAGGTTGATCTGCCAAAGTGCCTTGAAAGGCATCTACTTCTTGAAGATAGTATGGACTTGCTCCTTCAGCGTTAATCCCAACATCAACCAACGCAGCTAAAACTTCCCCTGGGTCCGTTTGAACAAAAGTAGAAGCCACTGGCTTCTCCTTTTCGAACGATTCGTATCCTATCATAGTCTGTTGCCGTCTATTTTTCAGGCGATTTGTAAGTTCTTCAACCATAAAGTTAATTTCCAAATCGGCATTTTGTTGCAGTTCTGCTTTTTCTTGCAAGAATTTTGAGACTTCATGTTTCATGTTTTGCTCTGCAGAGTCATTTAAATCGATGCGCTTTTCTATATCGTGCAGTTTTCTTGCTAGTAATTCTCTCATACGTTTACGTAAAGCCTTATCTGACTCATTCAATACAGGCTTGACAGGCAAACCATTATACCACTGCTCTATTTCTTCACCTATTAAGATTTCCTCAACTTCATGTGTAAGGTTTTCGTCTTTGGGTATTGGTACAGCTTCTAATAACTGAAAAGCTATTTGACATAACTGCGCATGATTCAAGTATTTAAAGTCAACATTGGTTTGACTCTTCACACTTTCAGCTAACTCTTCAATTTTTTTCATAAGACGTTGTTTGTAAATGTTTGCTTTTACTGGATCCTCTTCTTTATATTTTGAGTAGAGAATGTAATTTTCTGCTGTACTTATCACGAAGTTATGTTGAAGTAAGTTAGAGCCTTTTAAATTGTGTGCTCTCACATACTGCCTGTCTAATTTATTTGCGATCAGCTCCCTGAAAGAGTGCGTGTCTGTCATATTGTGCACGTATTTTAGCATACTCAAGACATCTGATAGAACCTTGAGCTTCCAAACGTGTCTAAATGCCTGGATCTCGTTTGTCTGAGGTAGACAATCCAACATTTTATCCAATTCATCTTCAAACACCATTGCAAAATATGAATAATCGTTTTCAATATCTGGATCACCTTTGAGTTGGAAGTAAGTCTTCCAAATTCCATTATAGATTCCTTTTCTTGCTAGATTTGCTAAAGCTTCCTGTTCAGGATTGGGTGTTTCAAGAGGTATTTCTTTTAATCGTTCGTGAAAGATGGCATCGAAATATTGGTGAGCTTCATCTAAAGACATACCTTGTGGAATATTTCCATCTCCTTCCAAATGTGGTGTCGACTGAGTTCCAGTCCTCGGTGTGATATCTTTAATGCTCGTGTTTGATTTGCATGGTAAACTACATATCGGCGCTTGCGGACCTAAAAGAGGCATCTGGACTACATTTTGCTTGTTTGTGGTGGCCATTGGACCTGTAGTAAAGCCTAGTGGACTACTCAACCTGACGTTAGAAGGACAATTCGCTGATGTATTTGCTTTAGCAGCTCCACAATTGACATTTCTATTTGTTACTCTATTTGCATTCTTGCTACCAGACTCTGGTTGCTTTGTCAGCATTGGTACGGGTATACTTTGTATTTTGTTCATAAGCTCCGAAGCATGCTCCACGGTTTCATGTCTGTCCTCACCTACCAACTTATTAACCCATTTAAATATTTGATACTTTAGTTGTTCTAGTTCACTTTCATCAGTTCCCTTGCTGGAAGGGTTAAGTTCTAAATACTTATGTCTATCAATTATGTCTCCAGCTAAATCGTTAACAACAATCTCTCGAAACCCTTTATCATGAATTTGTGGAATCTTCAAAGTACTCAGCCAGTTATCTATCATGTCAACTAACTGCTTCAAATACAAATCAAGTCTAGCTTGTATATCATCATCGGTTATCTCGTTAATACTATTATTGCCAATAGAAGTGTTTCCTGCTTTTGAACTGCTCGGTAAAGTAACGCCGTATACAGCAATATCAACTGTAGATATTACATTCTCTTTTATAACTTGTCCTTCTGGTGGCTTTGAACTTTGAACTGAATTAGACGCAACACCAGATTGCACGTTCTTGAAATCATGATCTTGTTTAGATACTCCACCTTTTGTTTGCTTATTGTAATCTAGTATCTTGTCTATGAGTTTTAGAATCTCATCATGCTGAAAATATTGTTTGTCTGACCAAGTTTCCAGCCAGTTCAATATAATGTTTTCCAAATAGTAAGAAACTCCACGCTCTAAACTGCTTTCCCCTTTGTTTACTATCTGAAATACTTTTGTAGCTAAATCATGAGTATTTTCACTCCCGTTTTTTAAATTTACCGTATCTTCAGATGATTTTACATAATCATCAAGCCACACATCCTCATATTTTCTAACATAAATCTTTTGCTGCTTAGAATCAAAGCTTTTTGTCAAATAAGTTGTATCTTTTAGTGCGCGTCTTAGTTTGTCTCTCACAACCCACTTTCTTTTCCCTTTGTAGACATTCTTCATCCATCTATCTATTTCTTTGTCAATAACTTCATCGACATTTTTGTTGACATCCATATTTCTTTTTATATTTGTTGCCAAATCATCTACTATTTCACTCGTGTTTAGAACATTACTTAGAGCGTTGGGTATGCTATTAAGACAATCTGTAATAATTTGTTTCAACACAGGCAATGAGTAGTCATAGTAATACGTTCGCTTCGCTTCAGGTAGTGTTAATTTAGGCTCCTTTTCTTCGGATTTTACCATCACTGGAGTTTCTATACTTCTGATTCTTTCCATAAGTTCATTCGCATGCTCAATCGTTTCCGTTGTATTTTCACCCGCCACTTTATTAATCCATTTAAAAATTTGATACTTCAGATACTGAAGTTCATTTTCTTCTGTGCCTTTGCTCGTTGGGTTCAATTCCAAATACTTGAATCGGTCTGTGATATCTTCTGCCAATTCTTTCACTGCTTTAACCTTATTCTCAGAAGGTATTTTTATATGCAGTTCATTTAACCAGTCTTCAATTTGTTCTATTAGTCGACGTTTGTAAAATACTACGTTAGATTTTATTTCGTCATTAATTGTTAGTTCTTTTACATTACTAGTGGTAGATTTTATATTAGAAATTTCAGATTTAATTTGACCAATATTGTGAAAAACTGAGTAGTTATCTTTGTGTGAAACTCCATTTATAGAACTACTAACTCCAACGTTCCCTAAATTTTCATTTCTATAAAGCTTTTCACCACAAGTTTCTCTAAAATGCTTCAAAATAATATCAGTGAAATAATTGGCTTGATAATCAGAGAGACCACCTAGCTTATGTAATATTGTATAAATACTATCTTTCACAACACCATTATTAAAATTATAATCCCTTTCCTTCATAACTTCTACTAGAGCATCATGCAATTCTTCTTCTAACAATTCCAACCTTTTAGTGCTGGCACTCAAATGAAGTTTACCCAATATGTTAGCCATTTCATTGGTAACAAAGTCTTTCAATTCTTTTATACAATGACGATTCTTATGGGGCTCAGATGACGTCCCTGTGGAATACTCAAAGCAATTCATTTGTATGATATCATTTAATAAAGCTAAAGCTAGTCGATTAAAGTGAGTTTCTTTATCATAGTCGCCAATTTCTATTGGTATTTCATTCAAAATATCCACGATAGTTGTTTTAAGTGTGCATTTATAATCTTTATCAAAGTTTTGTCTGTTAAGAATGTATGGTTCTAGTTGATGTACCACAGAATCCATTACGTCCTCCTTCTTTATAGTTCTACCAAGAAAATCCCTTTTCTTAATTGGTATATCTTTCAACCAATTCTTGATTACACCTCTAAAACTATCTTCCATGTTACAATAGCCTTTCGGGATTTCAATTCGGAGTATTCTTACAGGAGACGGATAGGTTCTTCTTCGTCTCTCTGGTTTTAGATACATCTTCTTTAGTTTCTTGATTATGCTGTCAGGCAAATGCTCTCTGAATTCCCGTCTTTCTTCATCGCATTCAGAGAACTGGCTGGGTACTCTTCTAAGATACTTTCGAATTTTCCGTCTAATTTTCTCTTCGCCTCCTGGCCTAGCAAGTTTATGAGCCAACCTTTGCATTTTCTCGCCCCATTTAGTTGTAGTTTCACCATTATCAGTTTCTTTCAACCAGTCTAACACTTCATTATGTAGCTGTATGTCTCTGTCTTGTATTCGTAAATCTTCTTGCGATTTGATTCTTCTATTACAGTTACAACATTTTGCTGCGGCTACCAAGTCGGCCGAACTAAACGACGTCTGCACAGATTTGATATTCCTCAAAGCAAGTTCTGAGTGGTCTTGATCCAGTTGAGTGACTGGTCTTGACTGCATGCGAATCTGAAACAAAACAATCTACTATCATTGTTTATGCTTGATAATTCTGCTGTACGTTATGGTAAATAAAAGTGATGATACTCACATCTCCACACAGTTGGACGGTGAAGTTATTGGTTACCAGAGGCAGTGCTGTAATGAAAAAATAGCATATTACAGATATTACTTGAAAATTAAATAATGAAGTCACAATATGTTTTGATCAGTTTATTTTCAAAGGTAAATAATCAAAAATATAAACAGACACTAACAGTTCAAACGTTTACTACTAAATTTAATAAAAGTATGGACATCCATACGGTAAGGGATAGCATTGATCCATCTCATAATCATCGTAAGCGAAGCAGACTGGTGGTCTCCTACACCTCATCATTCGGTCCATACAGCGGCACGGCTCATCCACTTCCGACTCAAAACCTTCTTCCGTATCTTCTTCTAAATCTAGACGTCTTCGTTCTAGATTCCGTCTATTCCTCTGCGAACTGCGTATCTTCTTTCTGCCAGGTCTTGGAGCAGAGCCTTGAGTAATTACTTGTTGGGGAGTCGAAAACCATTGTGGTTCTCCGTAACTTGATATTTGTCCAGGTCCTCTTTGTCCACTAGCTTCTGTATTACCTTCTGGTTGTTGAGGTTGTTCAGCAGTTCTCGGAGGACTTACTGGGTGTGCAGGCATCTGCTCAGGTACCCTACAAGATACTTGAGGTAGCTGATTAGGTACCATCACTCCAGGACTCGGCACACTAGTTTGAATTGGTGTAGGAATTCTCTGTCGAGTAGGACTGACAATTCTGCTGGTATTGCCTGATGGCGTTTGGTTTCTATTACAGCATGGTGTTTGAGCTCCCAGTGGAATGTTAGGGATAGGAACAGGTTGTGATGCGGGTGAAAATTGTTCCACTCCAATATTACTAGGTCTTGGTGTTTGCCCTGATCGGTTTAAACCTTGGACCGTATTTTGACGCACAGGACTTGCTGCTGCACTCCTACAACATGGACTTTGTTGCCGCTCTGGTGATTGAATCGGCGGATTAAAATTTGATCTTTCTCTAATGCTCTCATGGCATTGCACATTTGGAGCCACAGGTGGTCCCGTAGATTCTTGTAGTGTCAACCATTGCTCTGATTTGTTACTTTGGATGCGAGAGTACTGATTGTGCTCATGGATTGGCTGTGGTAGTGGTTGCTGGATTTGAGGTAGTTGCTGCATTTGAGGTGGTTGTGGTTTGGGCGTGGCTTGACTGTCTTCAAGCGTGAAATATTCCTCAGAAGGCAACGGGACATGAGGCGGTAGGGACCGTTCTGCAAAGTAATTGTATCCGTACTGGTCTGGTACTCTAGTGCCGTCCCGTATCATATAGCTTGATTGGTTAGCTACAGCAGGCCGCGCTCGCAGCGATTCAGAGAAACTGGAGCAGTGAGGCATGTGTTGACTAAACTCGTAATACCCCACAGAATCCATAATCGCCACCGATTTTCGCGACGCATTACCAGACTGCAGTTGTTTTGCTCTATTCTTCAATCTATTTGCAAACTCATCCGCCATAAAAGTTATGTTTAAACTTTCTCCTTGCTGCATTGGAACCTTTTCTAAAAACGATGAAATCTCGTGTTTGAGTACCCTCTCCCCAGTGCAGTCGAATATGTTAACGTCATTCTCAATTTCACGAATTTTCTTTACCAATGCATCTTTTAATTTCTTTCTTTGTAGCTGTTCATTTCCATCGTTGTTTGGAAGTACAGGCAGATCTAAAAACCACTGTTCAACTTCTGCACCCAACATAATCTCATCAGCTTCATCTTTCACTGTCTCTTCGCTAGGTAAAGGAACTTTATGTAGCGCATTAAAAATATTAGTAACATACAGATCTGTATCGATATCTTGCAAATCTTTACCGTGCATTTTCTTCACATTGTCTACAAGAGTCTGAGCTTCTTGTATCAACTTTTTACGGTAAACATTTCCTTTAGCTTTGTCGAGATCTTTAAAATTTGCGCAGAGTATGAAATCTTCGACTAATTTCATAATTTGGAGTTCTTCGTGGGGCTGTTTATTTGAGGTTCCTCGTGGAAGGCTATTATAGACGCTCTCCACTAGCTGTTGCCTAAAAGAAGCAGGAGCCGCAGTAGATTTGATCAACTCATTAGTATTAGTAGTTCTCTCAATCAACTGAACTTTTAGTAGATGTTTCTTCGTTTCTAATTCTGTACTTTTCGGAAGTGCATTAAACAACTCCTCTAATTCATCATCTAAAGCGTCTTCGTAATAAAATTGGTTATGAAACGTTGCTGGTTCAAATTTTAATCTTGTTATGGCTTTCCAAACTCCATTGTAAATGCCCATTCGTGCTTTATCTGCGTTTGCTTTCTCAGCTGCTGTACATGATGGGATAGGTATTTCTTTGACCCAGTTTTTCAAAAAAGCGTCATATTCTTCATTCAACTGCTTCATTGATGGTGTAGATGGTTTTAAGTGAGTACTAGAGCAACACGAGGCTCCCATTTCAGGGTTTACTTGTGACTGGTTATAGTTATTTTTGGTGTTATTTAGAGACATTGGTTGGCTTGTGTTTACGGCTTCTGCTCTTGCTGCTGAAGTATTAAAATCAGTAACACTTGGTGGACAACACCTTATAGATCCGCTTACGTTTTGTTGAGGCCTTGTCAACATTGGCACAGGAATGCTTTGGATTCTTTGCATCAGTTCAGGGGCATGCTCAATCGTGTCCATATTGTCTTCTCCGGCTAGTTTGTTGATCCACTTGAAAATTTGGTACTTCAAATGCTCCAATTCATCTTCGTTAGAGTCTCGACAAGAAGGATTCAGTTCTAAATACTTGTGCCGGTCGATTATGTCCCCTGCTAGATCGTGGACGACTACTTGTCTGAAACCAGAGTCGTGTGCTTGTGGAATTAACGTTTGCAGACTTGCCAACCACTCGTCTATCTGTGTAGTCAGTTGATTCATGTATAAATCTAAACTAGCGTCTACATCGTCCTTGGATATTGCTCCAATGCTAAAATTCGCCGTTTCGTTATTATTAGATTGGTAATGTGGACAACTATTCGTTGCATTTTGGAGGATAACATACGATTGCGATTGTCTTGAATTTTGACTAGATTTCGTACATGTTTGATTAGTTGTATCTGAAGTAAATATATTTTTAACAAGATGCAGTAGCTTTTGACTACATTGTCGAGCGTCTTGCCATGTTATGTTGTCAATTTCTTGACACAACAACATTACCAACTCGCTTTCAACGAGACTGTCTCTACCTGATCGTAATGCTTCAATAGAATCGATAAGAAAATCGATTATTTCAATCTCAACATCTTGAATAGGTACTGAATTTGTGTGAGAGCATGTTCGTTCTAAAAAATACTTTAAATCCTCCGAAACACATTGCTTTATCTCTTCTTCTGTTGGTTGAACATATTTCTTAAATCTATTCACGTATTTTTTTTTACGATGATTAGATTCAGACTCAGTTGCATTATCACCATGTTTGAGAATATTTTGCAACCTAAGTCTCCTTATAAATTGATCTGTTATATTATTGATATACTCAGATTTCTTGTATTCATCAACAGCTATTGGTAATTTGGAAATAATGTAAATTATTTCTGATTTTAGCGAATTATTGTCACTTCTAGATCTATTTCGAATTAGACGTTTAATTCTGTTACTTAATGTTTCCGTAATATCACCCTTATCTATTACTTTCCCAAAAATATCTACTGTTTGAAAGGGTATACTTCTTATCCAGTTCACGATCACACCGTCAAGGTTTCTGCCATCATTTGACATTTGTAAATTAGTTTCAGTTCTATAAACATCATAAGATTTATATCGATTCATCCGGCTTATAATTTCATCAGAAATGGCCTCTCTGTAAGCCTGGACATCTCCACAGGGAACCCAAACTGGGACATATTTCAACAATTTGCTAATATCATCCTTCTTATTATGAGGGCCTTCATTGAAATCTAAATTTTCAGTCATTTCTTGCAGCTTTGCGCTCATTTGTTTAAGCACTTCTCGTCTCAAGTCGCTTGCTTGTGGGTCTGCATTGGGACAGACTGAAACCTTATCTAGTAGTTCGAAGATCTCGTCTCCAAAACCCTTGCGAAGATTCTCATTGGATTTGGTCTTCCTTTGAATGACAAAGCAGCGACAGTTGCGGACCGGCTTGGCTACATCAACGGAACTGGAGGTGGTCTGGATGGATAAGTCCACTGGCATGCTAGCAGTCTCGACAGACTTGTAAGTCCGTGGGTGAGGGTTCAAATTCGCGTGTTCTAATACATCACCTTCGGGCTTCGTGTCGTCGCTGGATGAGGCCGGTGATAGGGGAACAGCTACCTAGAACAATTTAGATTCTGAAGAGATTTCTTTTTGTTGTTTTAACCGTAAAAAATAATCTAGAATACGCATTTATCTCAAACAAGAAAACTTGTTGAGTGCAGGCCAAATCCTCCATTTGCCTCTTAGGCCAGTAGAATTAAACACAAAAATTGATTAAATCGGAAATAATTCCTACAAAAGATTTTTTTGCTTTAATGGCTTCATTGGTTGCCCATTAAGACTCTCCTAAGTTTTCGACTTCGACGGAGTTGTGCTTAAGTGGTGGGGGCCCCCGAAAGAGGCGTTTTTTCGGTTTTCCGGTTATACCGCGTAAAGGACTTACCCTATCGAAAAGTGGTCTTCATGACGGTTAAAGGGCACTTAATTCTGCATTGAATAAGACCAAATTCATATGTTTTGGACAAACCGTTCTCGCGCTAAAGTTCAGCAAAGTATAAAATATACGTATAATTAATGACCCTCTCCACGTCCAATGGCTTGTTACCCACATGCTTCCAAGCCTTGTAAAGGGTCGCCTTAACCAGTGTAACCCTAAAAAGGCTCACGAGTTTGATTCGCTTAATCTTGTTCGTCCCAGCCGTTCCTTAACTGCGGTTGCTGCACCTCTTCCTGGCACTCTCCTGAACGACTCTGTGTTACCTAATGTGGCTGCCCCTCTTCCTTGTACCCTCCTGTACGATTTCATCGCTTAGCCATATGCCTGGTCCAAGGTTCGACGCCACAAAATCAACTTCGTACGAGTGAAAATAGTTTAAATACTATTTCCCGTGCTTGACCAGGCATACGGCTAGGCAACGTAGTCATGCAGGAGGATACAAGGTAGAGGGGCAGCCACAGTAGGTAACACAGAGTCGTTCAGGTGAGTGCCAGGAAGAGGTGCAGCAACCGCAGTTAAGGAACGGCTGGGACGAACAAGGATAGGCGCATCAAGCTCGTAAGCCTTGATAGGGTTACACTAGTTGAGGTGGCCCTTCTCAAGACTTTGAAGCCTGTGGGTAACAAACCATTGCACATGGAGAGGGTCATTAATTATACGTATATTTTCTACTTTGCCGAACTTTAGCGCGAGAACGGTTTGTCCAAAACATATGAATTTGGTCTTAGTCAATGCAGGATTAAGTGCCCTTCAACCGTCATGAAGACTACTTTTTGATAGGGTAAGTCCTTTACGCGGTATAACCGGAAAACCGAAAAAATGCCCCTTTCGGGGGCCCCCAGCACTTAAGCACAACTCCGTCGAAGTCGACAACTTAGGAGAATCTTAATGGGCAACCAATGAAGCCATTAAAACAATAAAATCTTTTGTAGGAATATTTCCGATTTAAAAGCTAATTCTACTGGACTATCTGGTAAATTAGAGAGGGTCGTACTTCTGCAGTGGTGACTAAATGATCTGATGATGATTTTAAAACCACAATAAAACTACTCACAGTTCTTTTCACTGGGTCAGTCCTTGGCACTGTTGCTACTTCTTTGGAAACCATTTCAGCGGCCGCTGTGGTAAAAAATAAAAGTAAATCAGTTACGTTGACAGTTGACAGCAGTTGAGAATTTAGAACAAGGCCGAATGAAATAGAGAAAAAGAAGCGTTCCATCCTTACACATATTTCTTGTCTATTGTAATAAATATTAACTGAAAACTGATTTACCTTGAACTTCCATGTTCACAGAATTGGTAGCCTGCAAAAAAAAGTAATTGTCAATTGTCCTGTACTTATTTGATCACCTCACAAAATATAAATACTTACAGTCAAAAGCGACGGTGTTTGAGAGAAATTATAATTTTGCTCGCACCTCTCTCTTATTACGGGGCCGACGACTGGCTGGCTATAAGGCTGTAAAAAACACTTCCTTATTACAGTCAAGAAACGTATTCTTTATTAGCAAATGTCTCAAGACATATCGTACTTACAAATCGTCAAATATTTTACTCTTAAGGAGCCTCTACATGTCTCATAATCTTTTTACACTACCAGCGCTTCGAGACAAACATTTGACAAGTGCTGAGAACAAGCGCCGCAACAAACTCAGTCACCACTGTCTGCCGGTTAATATAAATAAATAGAAATAGCAGTAGTAGGTACATTTGATTCAGGAGCAGTTCACTGAATTTACCATGCATTCTTGTATGGTGTATCTTATAAGTACAAAAGAACTTCAAACACGTACATAAGAAGACATCCTTAAGTTATCCTTAACTTTCCTCGCGACTTCTTTTAGATACTTGCTGTCAGCCCTCATCACTTGCCTCCTATACTCGGCACAGTCACAATCGGCTCTCACATCTCTGGTCGGTGATTCTTCCAGCCTAGGCTTCGGTCTGCAGTTCACTTCAGGCTCGTAAGTGTTCCTGTAGCTACCAGTTCTTGGAACAGTGTTCCTGGATGTACTCCGGTCCGGAGAGATCTGGTTGGAGGTGTTCGATTCGGTGCCGTGTCGAGAAGGGGATCCGTAGCGGGCTTGGTAGCTTTTGGAGACTGAAAAGTGATGGTGGGTTTTACAGACTGGTTTTTACTTTTTGCTACGTTGGTTAGATATACCTGTCACTATAGTCGATAATAAGCAAAGACTGCAGTGTTGATTGCTATAACTAAAGGGTCTTTGATCAAACCTCATTTCAAGTTTTTCACAACTCAAAATTTCCAAGAGGAATTTATTTGACTAGTAAATTAATCATCATCGTCATCATCAGGTCATTTAGTCTCCACTGCAGGAACACAGCCCTTTTTTGGCTGACTAGACAGGTTGGGGAGCAAATCATAAACAAAGCTTTAAGCCAGAAGTAGCAATGGCAGAACACGAGTCCCCTGACCAAATAAACTCAAAACGATCGTGGTTATTGTGTTCTCTTCTTAAGAAGATGCATAATCAATATTTGGGGGCAGGCCTATGTTCAGCAGTGGACGTCTTTAGGGGACAGGAGTGGGCCTGATTGATGGTAAGGGGTCATCCATAAAGTACGTCACACGTAAAGAGGGGGGGAGGGGGTTGACAAAGTGTGACAAGGGGTGGGAGGGGTCCTAAGTTTCGTGATATCACATTTCAATGAGGATCATTTCGATTTTTAGCTGTGAATGCAGATTTATAGGGCTAAGAAATCCTTAATACACAGTCCAAAAATTTTTGTTCTACGACAAAAATTGACGAAGTTATGGCCAAATTACTAAAAAAGTTCACTGACCGCCCGGCGCGGGGACGATGACGTCATTATATCCGATCCGAACGCTGCCGGCGTACTGCGTGGATAGAAAATATTTTTTTCTAGCCAAACTATCAGTTTTAGAGAAAAACTTGTAATGACATTTATTCATCAGAATAAAGTAAGCTATCGATAGGTAATTTTTAAAAATAGAAATTGTGAAAAATAACGCAAAAAATCCATACGCTCATACGATTCAATGGAACGCAGAGACGCGATTGGGGTCTCCGCGGTGGTATATTTGGCGATTTATTCAAATAAAGTGTTCATAAATATTATGTTCGATACAAACAATCATTAAGTTACACTCACCCCAACCGCGTCTCCGCATTGCATCGAATCCTATGAAAATGTGGTTTTTGGACATAGCGATACTTATTTTTCACAATTTTCATTTTTAAAAATTACTGGTCGATAAGTTACTTTATTTTGATGAATAAATGTTATAAAAAGTTTTTTTCTAAAACTGATAGTTTAGCTGGAAAAAAATATTTTCCATGCCAACAGTACGCCGGCTGCGCTCGATTCGGATATAATGACGTCACGCGGCCCTGCGTACGTTGACTTTTAGCGGCAAAAACGGCCTATGTTTATTACTTAATATCTTCGTAAGTAATGGTCCGATTTGGATAATTCAAAAAGATATATCTTTCTTATGTCTTAAAGATTAACGTAGATACTAGTTTTATTGAATTTTCTACAACAGTACTGATCCTCATTGTTTCAAATATTTGATATAATGTTGATTTCATATAAAAAAATACTTAATTTAAATAGATATAAAACTAATTTCGGAACTGCTGTTAATTTAATAATTTTTCGATGTGAAATTGCAAAACATGTGACGTCACACTAGGGAGGGGGGGGTCTCAGAAATGTGACCACCTGTGACAAGGACGGAGGGGGGGTCAAAAAATCATTTAATTCGTGTGACGTACTTTATGGATGGCCCCTAAGTAACTACCGCTACACAAAGACACCCGCCCGGGGGGGTTACAGCTGTGTATGCCTCTAAGGTAAGAGTACCCTCTCTTCTTGAAAGATTGCTGAAATGATGACGATCCAAGATTAGGTACTGAATCCCCACTCACCATTCTTAGCCTGAGTATAAGTGATCAGCCTCTCCACCATCTCCGTGGACCGCTCCATGGACACGTTCGGGTATTTCCGGAGAGAGTTGGCGAAGGCGTCCGGCTCTCGGGACGGCCGAGGGGAGCACACTGAACCTGGAATAAAGAATTGAATAGAATAGTTTTTTATTTGAAAGAAAGACATACAAGCAGGAAAGACATAGGTACCTACATAATGAAAGAGATACACAAATGGACAGATAGCTGCTTGTGCCCCTCTGACAAAAAGGTACAGGCTCAGCATACATCAAGACCGCGCCAGGGCTTGTCTCGAAACTGACTAATGATTGGAGGAATTGTGAGGTAGCTAACAAAACGTGCCGTTTGGATCCAAGGTGACTTTTGATAAGGTAGTTGGCCAAATCCTAAAGGTAGCCTTTCAAACTAAGCGTCACAGACGCAGCGTCTATAACTTTGGTCTTGTGCCACCAACGCCGCGTCACTAATTCGCTTCGAAAGGTTACCTTTTAGACCAGCGGTTCCCGGAAGGTGGTCCGCGGAACCCTGGAGTTGNACCCTATCGAAAAGTGGTCTTCATGACGGTTAAAGGGCACTTAATTCTGCATTGAATAAGACCAAATTCATATGTTTTGGACAAACCGTTCTCGCGCTAAAGTTCAGCAAAGTATAAAATATACGTATAATTAATGACCCTCTCCACGTCCAATGGCTTGTTACCCACATGCTTCCAAGCCTTGTAAAGGGTCGCCTTAACCAGTGTAACCCTAAAAAGGCTCACGAGTTTGATTCGCTTAATCTTGTTCGTCCCAGCCGTTCCTTAACTGCGGTTGCTGCACCTCTTCCTGGCACTCTCCTGAACGACTCTGTGTTACCTAATGTGGCTGCCCCTCTTCCTTGTACCCTCCTGTACGATTTCATCGCTTAGCCATATGCCTGGTCCAAGGTTCGACGCCACAAAATCAACTTCGTACGAGTGAAAATAGTTTAAATACTATTTCCCGTGCTTTTTTTTTTTTTATGCTAGCCAAGGCAGGTATTTGACCGCAATCGCACCTGGTGTTAAGTGAGATGCAGTCTAGGATGGATATGGATGGATAGTCTTGCAACATTTTTCTTTACTGCTTCGCCTCTATTAGTCGTAGAGTGATTGTATATATATGCCAAGGCACGAAGTACCTCGACGCTGATATTCTGCGAGCACCGTTTATAGAGAGGGCGTCCAGCCAGCCTTACAAAATACAACAAAAAGACAAACTTTATAAAATTACAAAATAAAAACAGACTAAAAACTTTTCGTTCACACATTTAAAATACGTATTCAATTTGCATAAAATTTCTTTCACTTGGCTGCTTAATGGATTTCGTACAGGAAATTCACTTACAGTAGGAGCCATTTCACTAATATTTGGAACACAATTACATAAAATTACACGTATCTGCTACCAGTACCGGGGGTGAAGTGAAGTATGTGAGAGACAAGGAAGCGGTGCGTGGCGGATGCGCCGCGCTTCAGGCCGCTTGCTATAATAAACCATGCGCGGGACGCGCCGCGCTTCAAGCCGATTGCCACTCTAAACTATCGGTGTGCACTCACACAAATGCAATTCTCAGCTTAAGTTGAGAGGACTGTATCTTATTCTAAACCTCTCTCTATAGAACATAATGTCAAAGACTTTTTGTAAAAAAATTATCTATTTTCTGCGAGATACAGAAATATAACCTGCTAGAGTCATGGAAGAAATACTCCCCAAGCATCTCATCTGTTATTGCTGGGCAAAAAAACTAATTAACAGCTATACCAGGCCTGTTCATCTCCGCGAGTTTACATCGAAAACAAAACACGCATGATGGCCCACCTACAGGATACTATTCGACAAGGCCTCACATACGAGCGAATA